AACCTGATCAACACAGCAAGACCCCATCTGACTTTTTTTTTTTAAAGGGGCTGTGTAACTCTGTGTCTCAGTTTTCTCATCTGTGATATTGAGTACTTCCCTCATATAGTTTATTAAGATTAAATGAGCTAATATTTATGAAATATTTGGAAAAGTGCTTGGTTCATAGGAAGTTTTATTAAATAAAATCTATACAATGGCCTAGCCAACAATTACTGAACACTTCCTGTATGCTTGGCATTAAATAAAACACAGCCAGGAGTCACAGGACAAGTGTCCCTGGGTTGGGAGTACTTAGTGATATAACTTTAGTGGTTCCCAACTGTGACAGATTATATTCACAGTGTAGTCATATCGGTATACATCTCAGCTCAATGTTCTTTTTACAATGGGACATTGGTACATTTTCAGCAAGAGATGGGGCATCTTTCTTCTCTTTGAACCTGGGTAGACCTTTGTAACTGCCTTGACCCATAGAATAAGGTAGAGGTGACAGTGTGTAACTTCTAAGGTTAGATCATAAAAGGCATTGCATCTACCACTATGGCGTCTTAGATCATTTGCTCAAGGGAAGCTAAGCATCATGCCAGGAGGACATCAAGCATTCCCATGGAGAGATCCACATGGAAAGGAACCAAGGTCCCTAACCTGTATTCAGCACCAATTTTCCAACCATCTAAGTTAGTCACCTTTAACGTGGATCTACCTGCCTAGTCAAGCCTTCAGATGAGTATGGCCCCAGCTGACATATGATTGCAACTGCATAAGCAGCTCCAATTAAGAGCTGGCCAGCACAGCTCTGCCCAAATTCCTGACCCACAGAAACCATGAAAGATAACATATGATTGTCATTTTTCCAAGCTAAACTCTGGGTTAAACAGATTGGTTAAGAAGCAATAGTTAAGTAAAATATCAATTCTTTTGTCCCTAATACCCTCTCAATAAAACAAATATTTGATAGTGTTTCTTCACCAACCTGAAATTGAATTGACACATCTTACCTACCTCTATATACCACTTTTTGAAAAATTGGAGTCTAACTCTAATATAAAGAGTAAATAAAAGGAAATCAGTTTTTTGCTAAACATACTTAAGTATATAAATGCTTATTGAAATGTTAGCAGAAGACATGATGAAGTGATCAGACACCATCCTGTGACTGCAGTGAATCAAGACAAAAACAAGACCACTCTGTAATCATGAGTGAACACAGACAGAAACACGAACATTGTCTGAGCCACAAAAATGACCAAACACCCCTATAACTGGACCAATATGAATAATGGCTGCCTCTTTACCACTTACGACTCTAGCCTCGATTTATTCTTCCCACCTTCTACATGAGGACTATGAAGATACTCAGACATAGACTTGCCTCATTCCAAGAGCAGTCTCCAACACAGAGCAAAGCCCTGCTTCTTTGAACTCTCCCCAAAACCACCTAACACAAGCTGCAATCCTGTAAGTCCTCTCTAATATCTTCTTCCTGAGATGTTCCGTGGTTCTTTGCGGTGAGCATTCTTTCTCATTGCCATGAGCGATGCGCCTTTCCTGTTCCTTGTACTGATGTATTCCTAGTGGTCTTTGGCTAGAGAGCTTTGACAGAAAAGAAAACAAATTTCAGCATTCATCATTCATAATGAGGGGAAATGGTAACAAAACTTTTGTGTCAGTTTATGTTGTGCATGTATATTTGTTTGCAGGCATATGGAGTATGGAACACGTAAAAATATTTCTATGTCAATCACAATAAAAATAGTATAACCACTGGCCAGGTGCACAACAGCTGAAAGCCAGGATGCCCACAGACTCCACTCCAGCCCTTGCCTGTTTGTGTGCCCTGTGGCAAGTTATTTCACTTCTCTTGCCCTCAGTTTCCTCATTCATTCATTTATACATTTAAGAAATATTTGTTGAGCACTTTCCATGTATCAGGCACTGAAGACTCATCAGTGAACAAAACAGACACAGCTCCCTGCCTTATGGAGTTGATATTCTTGAAAGGGAAGGTAGGCAATTAAAACAAAGAAATAAAATATATTGTAAGATGTCAGTAAGTGCCGTGGAGGAAGATCGTGGAGAAGGAGGGGATAATAGTAGAGATGATTTACAATTTACCAAGGCGTGGTCCGGGAAGCTCCCACTGAAAAGTGACATTTGAGCAAAGACTTGAAGAAGGAGGCAAAAGAGTAGGTTCTGCAGGAAACTGAAGGGATAGCGATCCACACAGCGGGAACAGCAGGCGCAAAGGCCCTGAAGAGGGAGCCTGCCTGCAGGTTCTGGGTAAAAGGCAGACTCCTCATCCCACTCCAAGTGGTGGTCTGCCCCCTGTGAGCCCCTCCAACCTCACTGGCTTCCCCTCACATCTGCTTTCTCTCAGATTTAGAAGTCACTGTGCTCCCTCCTGTCTCTCTGCCTAGCACCATAGGTGCTGCCTAGAATTCAAGGGTGCACACATCCTAGAGTTTTACGCTGTTGCTTGTAGTACTCTGGCAAATAGTTTTGTTAATCTAACTACTTGAGTTTAGGTGTTCTGTGCTCCTGGGACTCCCCATGCCTGTCCCTTAGGGTTCATCTCAAAGCTTGCCCCTAAATGTTTGAGATCTATCTGCTTAATGCCAGTCTTCTCCACTGGGCTATCAACTGCTTGATGTCAGGGCCAACGGGTATTTGATGGACTGTTGGGTCTGTAGCACCCAGCACAATGCCCGGAACTTGAATGAATGAACCCGGAATAGAGGAAGAGGATGCTTAGATTGAGATTAGATCCATCACTCAACTCTCTCCTGGAGACACCCAACCAACTTAAGACTCAGTTTCAATTCTGCCTTCTTGAGGAAGCCTTGCTTGTCACCCTTCAGACCAGGCCAAGCCCTCTGTTACTGTTCTTTAAGCTCCTGTTCTTCTCCCTGGCAGCATGTATCACAGCAAGAATCAGTTATGTGGACTCACCCACTTAGGTGTCACCCCTGGAACATAATAAGTAACACATATTGAGCTCTCATGTTCTGAGCACTTTAAATGACGGGCCATTCTCCTCACAATCACGCCACAGCCATTATTATTCCTATTCTGCAGAGCAGGGAACTAAGATACAGACAGGTCAAGAAGATGGGCCAGGAATGGTGACTCACGCTATAATCCCAGCACTTTGGGAGGCCAGGGTGAATTGCTTGAGCTCAGGAGTTCGAGACCAGCCTGGGCAACATGGTGAAACCTGGTATCTACCAAAAATAACAAAAAAATTAGCTGGGTATGGTGCCATGTGCCTGTAGTCCCAGCTACTTGAGAGGCTGAGATGGGAGGATGATCACTTGAGCCTGGGGGGCAGAAGTTGCAGTGAGCCGAGATTGTGCCACTGCACTCCAGCCTGGGTAACAGAGCAACACTCCGTCTCAAAAAAAAAAAAAAAAAGGAAGGTGGCTCAGCCGGTAGTAGATGGCCAAGTCAGAATCTGAACCCATGTCAGCTTCCCCCAGAGGACCCACTCCTGACCACTGGGCCATACAGTCTCACCGCACCATGCATTGCGGCAATCTATCTTGTTCTCCAACACATCCTCAGCACCAGTTACCAGCCTGGCAGAGAGAATACACAGTCAATCCTCAACACTTGTGGATTCTGTATTTGTGCATTGCTAATATTTATTTTTAAGTCAAAATCAATACTTGGCCATGCAGAGACGTACACAGAGTACAGAAAAATGGTGTTTCCTGATCTGACATGCACATTCCCAGCTGAAGCTGAACAGGCAACATTCTGCCTTCTCATTTCAGCTCTCATACTACAAACGAATATCCTTTCTCTGTCCATTTAAAACTAAGTTTATTGCATTTTTGTGCTTTTTAAATTTTTTTGGTGATTTTTCTGTTTAAAATGGCCCCTGAGCATAGTACTGAAGTACTGCCTTGTGCTCCCAGGAGCAGGAAGGCTGTGATGTGCCTTACATGGAAACTATGTGTTAGGTAAATATGCCGGCAGGCACTATAGCGATACTGGCCACAAGTTTAATATTAATGAATCAACAATATATATTAATGTATCTCTTTTTTTCTCTCTCTTTTTTTTTTTTTTCTTTTTGAGAGAGAGTCTCACTCTGTGGCCCAGGCTGGAGCAATCTTGGCTCACTGCAACTTCCACCTCCTGGGTTCAAGTGATTCTCCTGCCTCAGCTCCCGAGTGGCTGGGATTACAGGTGCACATCACCACGCCCAGCTAAGTTTTCATATTTTGGTAGAGATGGGGTTTCCCCATGTAGGCTTCAGGATGGTCTCGAACTCCTGAGCTTAGGCAATCTGCTAGCCTCAGCCTCCTAAAGTGTTAGAATTATAGGCATGAGCCACATGCCCACCCTAAATAACGTATCTTTAAACAGAAACACACATATAACAAGGTTATATACTGACCAATTGATGAATAAGTTGGGACCAGAGGTTCACAGGAACCTAAACCTGTATTTATTTTCCCTAAGGGCAATGAGTCAGTTCTGATTAATTCAACCTTTGCAGTGATTTTACAGAACTTAATGACCAAGAGGCCAGCTGTGGTGCCTCACACCTGTAATCCCAGCACTCTGGAAGGCCAAGGCAGGCGGATCACCTGAGGTCAGGAGTTCAAGACCAGCCTGGCCAACATGGTGAAATCCCGTCTCTCCAAAACTATACAAAAAAAATTAACCAGGCCTGGTGGTGGCTGCCTGTAGTCCCACCTACTCAGGAGTCTGAGGCACAAGAATTGCTTGAACCCGGGAGGCAGAGGTTGCTGTGAGCCGAGGTCGCGCTACTGCACTCCAGCCTGGGCGATATAGCAAGGCCCTGCCTCCAAAAAATAAATAAATAAATAAATAAAAGAACTTAATGACAGAACAAAAAGAATCGCCAGTATATGATAAATAGCAGCTGGGTGAACAAATGACTGGCAGGGAGTGGATAGGAGGACAAGCCCAGAGTGAGTGAGAAAAAAGAGCCCGTGGCCTCATCTCCCTGTCCTCTCCCCGCTCAGGGATCAGAGTCACCAAGGTGGATTGGCAGCGGTTGAGGAATGGCGCTGCCCACCACACCCAGGAGTACCCCTGCCCTGAGCTGGTGGTTCGCAGGGGCCAGTCATTCAGCCTCACACTGGAGCTGAGCAGAGACCTGGACTGCGAGGAGACCCTGATCTTCACGGTGGAGACAGGTAACTGGGCTCGCCAGCGCCCCCTGCTGGTCTGCAGCAGGAGGGCCCTGCCTTATGACCCAAAAACCTGAGACCTTGCAGTCAGCAGCTCAGGCTCTAGGGGAAGCAAGTCCCTGTAGGTAGACAGGGCTTTGAGCTCTGGAGACTTCTGGTGGCACCTTTCTGGGTGTGGTTGGGAGGTGCTGCCAGCAGACAGTGGGATGGATGGGATGACCTCTCCGAAATCCTCTGTGTACCAGACACCCAGGGCTCTGGAGGTATGAAAAATCATCAAGCACTTTGAAGCCCAAGATTTTCTTTCCTTTCCTGGCCTGCCATAGGCCGACTTGGTTTCAAAGGATGCTGTCACTTTCTCCTTGGCCTGGAAGTGGCTGGCGTGTCGGGACAGCCGAGGCGGGCCCCCACTCTGCTACTGGTCTTCTTGCTCTTGGTCAGGTCCTTCTCCCAAAGCCTCCCAGTTCAGGGGGTAAAGGTCAGGCTTCCAGGCCCGCAGCTTTTTTCACTTCTCTAAAGCTGGGTTTCCCAGGGGCAGGGTCTCCTGAATCCCTCTTCTCTCCTCCAGGGCCCCGGGCTTCTGAGGCCCTCCACACCAAAGCTGTGTTCCAGACATCGGAGTTGGATGGGGGTGAGGGCTGGACAGCAGCAAAGGAGGCTCAGATGGAGAACACTCTGACCGTCAGGCTCACCAGCCCTCCCAGTGCTGTCATTGGCCGCTACGTGCTGAGCATCAGGCTTTCCTCTCACCGCAAACACAGCAACCGGAGGCTGGGGGAGTTTGTTCTCCTCTTCAACCCGTGGTGCGCAGGTAGGACTGGCTAAGTCCAAGGTAGAGATTTTTCCAAAAGACATCCTTAGAGGCGGGCCTGCCCTTGGAGGGGACTGGGAAGCGGGTTAAAGGACAGGAAGCTGAATGCCAAGAGCTGGGCGAGAACTTGGCGGAGGCAGAGGTAGGCAATGGTCAGAGAAACTTACAAGCAGGTGCTTCAAAGCCTGTGCTGGGGGAGCCAGTGGGCAGGAGAGGCCCAGGGGTGGGTAAGAGCCAGGACTTGGGAATCACACTGCCTTGGTTTAGTCCCAGCTCTTTTAAGCTGCCCCCTCTACCAATTTCCTCATCTGTAAGATGAGAAAAATCACAGTGCCTACCTCTTAAGACTATGGTGAAAATCCACAGAGCTAACGCTTGTAACATAGGAGCTACATCGTAAGACCTTAGTAAGGGGTGGCCAGGATCAGTATTCTTATTAATATTTAAGAAATACGGCATTACTATTAACATCAAGGAGGACCACCCAAAAGTGTCAGGACCCCTAAAATTCCTCAGTCTTGGGCTGTGTTGGGATTGGTCCCTGCTTGGAGAAAGACTTGCCGGGAGGGATGGGTTTCGGCAGGGAGGCAGCACAGGAGCTCGCCAGTCCCCTCTTGCCCTCTTCTGCCCCAGTCAGTCTCCAAGCACTGTCCTGCTGCTGAGCCCTGATGCAGCCCCTTCCCCAGACGGGCAAGGCCAGAGCCCCAGCCCACACTGGGCCTGATGACTGCTTTTCAGAGGACGATGTGTTTCTGGCTTCAGAGGAGGAGAGACAGGAGTACGTGCTCAATGACAGCGGCATCATCTTCCGAGGCGTGGAGAAGCACATCCGAGCCCAGGGCTGGAACTACGGGCAGGTCTCCAGGGGCACAGGCCAGACAGGGACACAGGCTGGGGCATGGGGAGGTCAGTGGGAGTGGAGTCCCTCTGTCTACGCACTCTTCTCAGGAGGGACAAGGGGGGCTCACTCAGAGAAAATCCTCTCATTCATTCATTCCTGTACTATTCAATAGGCCAGGGGCTGCACTGGGTCCTGGGGAAGGGGAGGTGCTTTGGACACAGTTTGGACACAGAACAGGTCAGCATTGTTGTGGAAAAATAAGTAACTGATTGGGTTTTCAAACTCGAACATACATCAGAATCCCAGGAGGGATGGAGTGCTGGACCCCACCCCCAGAGCTGCCGACTGACTAGGTCTCGGGCAAGGTCTGAGAATGTGCATTTCTAACCAGCTCCCAGGTGATGCTGCTGCTGGCCTGGGACCACACTTTGAGAGCCACTGGCTTAGATAAGTAGTTCCAATGTCAGTTGCAATAGAGGAAGGAAAAAGTCAGAATGTTAGGAATGGAAGCAAAGGGAGCCCCGAAGAGGATGAAAGGAACCTCTACCTCGGCCGCTGTGGAGGCTTGCATGATATTGAGGTTGGGTCTCCACAGTGAGGCCGGACCTGCCCAGGCAGGGGGATGAGCAGCAGAGCCACATGGAGGTGGGAAACAGGGGGTCCTGAGACTGCTGGAGGAGTTCTGTCTGCCCCAGCTCCAGATGCCCAGCCAGATGGAAGATTGGACTTGACTGTCAGGCTGAGGAGTCGCACACTACCCTGCAGGCCAGGGGTTTAAAGCATTTGGGATTCAAACCTAAACGTGTATGCAAAAATCCCCCAGCTTTTAAATGTTGTTAAGTAATTCAGATGTGTCTGAAAACATCATGTAGACCAAAGGAGCGTATCAGTGAGGCAGACGTGGCTCAAGAGCCACCGATTTTAGTCCAGACTTTACTGTGGGTAGTCAGGAGCCAGGGGAGGTTGTTGAGCAGGGGAAATACGCGATTAAGTTTGAGCTTCCGATTCCCCAGGTGACTCTTTGAGGAAGGGTTTCTGAGACTAGGGGGTGCTCTGTGATGTCCCTGGTGGTTGGAGGGGGAAGCAAACTGCCCTGCACAGATTGGGTGACTGACTGGGTGAGGGCTGTGGGTGGGCCTGGAATGTGGGTGACTCTAAGCACAGCGTCTCTGGGGAGCAGTTTGAGGAGGACATCCTGAAAATCTGCCTCTCCATCCTGGATCGAAGCCCCGGTCACCAAGACAACCCAGCCACCGACGTGTCCTGCCGCCATGATCCCATCTATGTCACCAGGGTCATCAGCGCCATGGTGAGAAGCCCCTCCACCCCTGCATGTACTTCCTCAAGGAGCCCCCAGCCAATCCCGGGGCCACACCCTGTGATTCTTCCCATCACTCCTGGTTTTAATTCACTGTTGTTGCATAACAAACCACCCCAAATCTCAGTGGTGTAAAACAACCCTTTATTATGCTTACTGTTTTCTAGATTAGGAATTTGGGCAAGGCACCATGAGAATGGTTTGTCTCTGCTCCAGGATTCTTCTCTTGGGGGTGTCTGAATGGCTGCATATGTCTGGGATGGTTTGACAGGACCTCTGTCTGGGGCTTTGGTTCTGGTGGTTGGCAGTTCCTAGGTTCTGGTCCACGTCATGTCTCCTGGAACCGGAATGTCCAGAATGGCTTCCCCACCCTCATGTCAGGCCCTGGACTGGGGTGGCTGGAGCAGCTGGGATCCACCGGTCATCACTCTTTCCACTCTTTCCATGTGGCTAGCTTGGGCTTCCTCACAATATGGCAGTCTCATGCATAGCAATGGCTCCCGTATCCCCACCTCCCTGCCCCAAGCAATTCTTCCAAGAAAGAGGAAGTGGAAGCTCCCAGTCTTATAAGGCCTAGGCCTGAAAACTGGCACAGCATCACTTCACATTATCAGATTATCATAGTCAGTGGTCAAAGCAGTCTGAGCCCAGCCCAGACTCAAGAGGAGGGGGCATAAACCAACCTCTCCATGGGAAGCATGACCATTTTTAAGCTATCACATGCCTCGGGCCATGGTGCTTCCTCCCAAAAGGTGTCTGGAGGACCCACCACCTCACTCTACCATATGCAGGTGTTAAAGTCAGTGGGTGGGTATTTGAGATTCCAAAATGGTACAAAGCTATATTTCTCCTATTTGATACTCTCAATTCCTCAAGACCTCAGAGAGCAATTGGAGCACAGAGAATTAACATGAGTGACAATCCCAAACAGCAGAGCATCACAGCCCTGAGGACAGTGAAAGTCCTGAACTCCAGGCTCCCGAGTCCAAGTCCTAGACTCACAGATCACCACTTGGACTAACTTGCTGTGTGATTTGGGCAGGTCCCTGAACGCTTCTGAAGCTCAGTTTTCTCATCTGAAAAAAAAGGAGAATAATGGAACCTACATTGTAAACTTCAACAGGTTAATAGAGTGTGCACAAAATTCTTGGCATAATGTCTGGCACACTATAAGTATTTAATAAATGTTAGCTGTCCCTATAATTATTACACCAGCAGTCCCCCAAAACAGATCATTTAATGTAGGAAATGCTGTAAAGTTGTAATGATTTTTATGGCACAGTATCCAAATGGAAGATAATTGAAAATGACAAGTGCTACCAAGAAGTAGGTGTTTTAAGACAACAGATGCCCCCAATTTTCAGACAGTTAAAAAACAAGAGTGACCCCGATTGAGCTGGTGGTCCAAAGTTGGAGAGGATTTCACCATGATGCAGTTCCTGAAGTGGGAAGCCCTGCCTGGTGGTGGACCCGTGCCCTCCTCTGCCCAGGTGAACAGCAACAATGACCAAGGTGTGGTGCAAGGACAGTGGCGGGGCAGGTACGGCGGTGGCACCAGCCCACTGCACTGGCGCGGCAGCGTGGCCATTCTGCAGAAGTGGTTCAAGGGCAGGCACAAGCCAGTCAAGTACGGCCAGTGCTGGGTCTTCGCTGGAGTCATGTGTACAGGTACCGTGGGAGAGAAGGGCCCCTGCCCCAACCTCCTCTATCTAAATATATTTACATATATTTGCATATGCTGCAATCCATCTTCATTGACAGGGAGATTAAGTCTCGCTAATGAAGAGAGAAGCCAGAGAATGTATTTCCATGACATCTGATCTTTTATTTTAAAGGAGTCCTACCTCTGTCTCACTCATTGAATGCCTTGGGCGAGTCCTGTGGCCCCTTTGGCCTCCAGTCCCCTCAGGAAGATAAGTGGACTCTATTAAGTGGCATCCAAGGTCTTGCCAGCCTCAGAACCTGTCTACTGACATGGGGTGGCAGCAGTGTCTCCCGAAGTTCTTAAGACAATGTACAGGAGATAGTGGCATTTCTGAGAGTGGAGATGGGAGTCTCAGCCCCACAACCTGCCAAAGTAGACAGACAGACAAAGATGGGGTAGCAGAGGGCTTTGGCCACAAATGAGCCAGGGCACCTGCTGTATAAGCCAGGCCCCTCTCTCAGGGGCTGAGGTCCTGCCTGCTCTTAGCCTCCCAGCCTCTGCTCTGCAGTCCTCAGGTGCTTGGGGATAGCCACACGGGTCGTGTCCAACTTCAACTCAGCCCACGACACAGACCAGAACCTGAGTGTGGACAAATACGTGGACTTCTTCGGGCGGACCCTGGAGGACCTGACAGAAGACAGCATGTGGTGGGTCCCGCTCCCAGCCCAAGCCCCAGGCTCCAGAAGCCCAGCAGGTGGAGCAAGGCATCTGCTCTCCCGAGTCTAAGCTGACTCTGAAGGGAGTGAGAGGCACCCTGAGGACAGGGTGGTCCCTCTTTTGAGATGTAGGGTCTGAGGTCAGGAGATGTAGACTCAGAGGGCAGGAGGGGCCTCAAAATTTGATTGCCTTGAACACCTGATTCTACTCTCTCTGGGAATCTGTGGCTTCCTTGGGTGGGGAGGATCTCCGTCCGCACAGGTATCTCTGGATCAGGCACCTGCTTCTGTGTCAGCTGCGGTTCTCCATGCTGTGTGTCTCAGGTGGGAAACAGCCTCCTTCCTCGGTTAAAACAAAATTCATCAGATAAAGCTTTAAAAAATTCATTCTAGGCTGGGTGTGGTGGCTCATGCCTGTAATCCCAGCACTCTGGAAGGTCAAGCTGGGTGAATCACCTGAGGTCAGGAGTTCAAGACCAGCCTGGCCAACATGGCGAAACCCCATCTCTACTAAAAATACAAAAATTAGCCAGGTGTGGTGGCACATGCCTGTAACCCCAGCTATTTGGGAGGCTGAGGCAAGAGAATTGCTTGAACCCAGGAGGCGGAGGTTACAGTGAGCAGAAATCACACCATTGCACTCCATCCTGGTCAACGTAGTGAAACCCTGTTCCTACTAAAATTACAAAAATTAGCCAGGCATGGTGGTGGGCGCCTGTAATCCCAGCTACTCAGGAGGCTGAGGCAGGAGAATTGCTTGAACTTCAGAGGTGGAGATTGCTGTGAGCCAAGATCACGACACTGCACTCCAGCCTGGGCGACAGAGTGAGACTCCTTCTCAAAAAAAAAAAAAAAAAAAAAAAAAATCTAATTTAATTTTCTATGATACGAAATAAGCTAATGTGGCTTAACATTCAAAAAGTACAAAACGGGTTGCAGTGACGTCTCCCTCCTTCCCAGTTCCCCAGCCTCCCCAGCCTCCTCCTGGAGGCAACACTATCACTGTCTCCTACGTCTCCTGTCAGAGAGACGCTCTGCAGACAAGAACATTCGGGCCGGGCACAGTGGCTTACGCCTGTAATCCCAGCACTTTGGGAGGCCGAGGTGGGTGGATCACAAGGTCAAGAGATCGAGACCATCCTGGTCAACATGGTGAAACGCTGTGTCTACTAAAAATACAAAAATTAGCCGAGCGTAGTGGCACTTGCCTGTGGCCCCAGCTACTTGGAAGGCCAAGGCTGGCAGGTCACTTGAGGTCAGGAGTTCAAGACCAGCCTGGCCAACATGATGAAACCCCGTATTTACTAAAAATACAAAAGAAAAAAAAAATTAGCCGGGTGTGGTGGCACACGCCTATAATCCCAGCAAATGGAGAGGCTGAGACACAAGAATCTCCTGAACCTGGGTGGTGGAGTTTGCAGTGAGTCAAGACTGCACCTTTGCACTCCAGTGTAAGTGACAGAGCAAGACTGTCTCAAAAAAATAAATAAATAAAAATAAAGGTTAGGAGAGATGGTGAAGAGAACATAACACAGAGACATAGAGAGCCTTGTAGCCTTGTTCCCCAGAGGTACATGCCAGCAGCCCTTCCTGAGCTCGCCTCCAGCTCGGACCATCTCTCTGCTCCCCTTTGCCTCCCCTCTTTTTTGGTTCTCTTCATTCCCTCACCCTGGAAGCACAAAATACTCACATTCTTCTCTTTTCTTCATGCAGAAAGCACAGAGACTTCATTTTGATGTTGGGGACTCTGTCACCACCCAGGTTATCAGGGTCCCACCGTTAATCCCCAAATGCTAATCAAGAGACTTTCCCCAACAACCTGCAAAAGAGGGGTTCTGAGACCGGCTGTAAAGATGCCAAGTCAGGCAAACCGGGAGTCAGGTTTCTTTCTGCTGCTTTCTTTCTGCAAGACCCTGAGCATGTGATGTCACATTTCCTACTCATATTCTCAGCTTTAACGCAGGGAATTAAAAATAAGGCTGGAATTCCTTACCAGGGCCTACAGAGCTCTGCACAATCGGAACCATACCTACCCCCTCTGCTGGCCACATCCCAGAGACACTTGTATACTTTCTGCTCCTTGGACACACCAGGCTTTTTCTTATCTCAGGACCTTTGCACATGCTGTTCCTTCTGCCTGGAATACTGTTCCGTTCGCTTTTCCTATAGCTTATTCTTTCTCATTTAAGGCTGACCTTCAATGTCATTTACCTAGAGTACGTCTACAGGGGCTGTTCTCTAGCTCCAGCCCCTCTTTTCCTTCACGGCATTTATTGCTGCTTGCATTTGTTTATCTACTGACTTAGCTTTCCCCGTCTCCTGTTTTAGAATGTAAGCAGCATGAGAGTAAGGATCTTCTGTCTTAGCTGCAGTACCTTGAATAACAAGTTCTTGATAACACACACATCTATATACACTCATACACATATATACAAACATCTGTGAATGCTGTGTGCTCATTAGTGTTGTTGAATGAATGATTCACGAGATGCAGCAGCAGTTCTCCTGAAGATTAGGGGACCCAGGGCCTGCCGTTCAGTAGGATCTTCCCTTCCTATGCCCTCACTCAAGGCCACTTCACCCATCCTCTCTCTGCGGCAGGAATTTCCATGTCTGGAATGAGAGCTGGTTTGCCCGGCAGGACCTCGGCCCCTCTTACAATGGCTGGCAGGTTCTGGACGCCACCCCTCAGGAGGAGAGTAAAGGTACGCTCAACTGGGTGGGGTACATTCCAGACCCCTACTTTTCCTTACCCATGCTGCTCGCACCCACCCCTCCTGCCCAGGTGTGTTCCGGTGCGGCCCAGCCTCAGTCACCGCCATCCGTGAGGGCGATATACACCTGGCCCACGATGGCCCCTTCGTGTTCGCCGAGGTCAACGCCGACTACATCACGTGGCTGTGGCACGAGGATGAGAGCCGGGAGCGTGTGTACTCGGACACGAAGAAGATCGGGAGATGCATCAGCACCAAGGCGGTAGGCAGCGACTCCCGTGTGGACATCACTGGCCTCTACAAGTATCCGGAAGGTAAGGGTCACACGGCAACCTTTATTATCTTCCCCAGGTTGGCCCAGCTACTGCAGAGAGCCCACTGCGGGTGGCCTGGGGTCAGGCCCCGCCCCACGTGTATGACGCTGAGAGCAGCTTCCATTGGCATCGTCTCTGTGCTCTGAGCCAAGTGCCTTTATTTAGGCTGTATTAATAGCTTCCTCTGTTTGCTAAGTACCTCTTCTTCCTTGGAAGATTTCCCATATGAAATAATAACAGCTACACTTCCTTGAATACTTGCCATATACCAGGCATTGCATTAGGTATATTCACATATAGTAATAATCACTGCTGGTAATAATAATGATAATCGTAGCAGGTATTATTTATAGAACACCTAGAACAAATGCTTGGCACAGGCCCGGCTCAGACTAGTAATAATAGCACCTCCTGTTTAGCATCTGCCAGGACCTGTGCCATGATACCAGCTACGGCCACTGGTTCACTGAAGAGCCTGTACCTGGTAGGCCGCAACAACAAAACAGTTGTATTTTTTCTTATAGCTGCTTCCAACTATATACTTTGAAGTCTCCCTTTCCCACTGGGTAACAGGTTCCTTAGCAATGTTGTGATCTGATTAACAGATTTTCAACCATTTCTGCTTGCTAAAACCATGTTACCAAGTAATTATGACTTCAAACTCAACCTTGAATTAGACCCTGTCTCCTCCCATCCCCTGAGCACAGGCTAGAGCAGTGACCCTGGAAGGCTGCTGAAGAGGGGACACAATCTGCTCTGAACATCTCCTCACTTCCCTTTTCTGTTCTCTAGCATCATGGTTTGCAGCTCTGGTTGCACTTTTTTTTGTTTTGTTTTTTGAGATGGAGTCTTGCTCTTGTTGCCCAGGCTGGAGTGCAATGATACACTCTTGGCTCACTGCAACCTCCGCCTCCTGGGTTCAAATAACTCTCCAGCCTGCCTCATCCTCCTGAGTAGCTAGGATTACAGATGCCTGCCACCACACCCAGCTAATTTTTGTTTTAGTAGAAACAGGGCTTCACCATGTTGGCCGGGCTGGCCTTGAACTCCTGACCTCAGGTGATCTGCCCACCTCAGTCTCCCAAAGTGCTGGGATTACAGGTATGAGCTACTGCACCCAGCCCCTGGGGCACATTTGAATTACCCAAGGAGGTGTTTCAGTTATATGTCTTAAACAACAATGACTTATTTGGTCAATTCTGTGGGTCAGCAATTTAGGCTGTGCTCAGCTGGGTTGGTTCACCTCCTCCAGGTGGTGTTGGCTGGGATCTCACATACGTTTGTCACATGGGAGTGCTGAGATGACTGTCTCCCCGCTTGGTCTCTCATATCTCAATAAGCCAGCCCTTGTTTTTCTGAATAGCAGCAACATTCCCAGGAGGTGAAAGATGAAGCTGTGAGGTTTCTAGAGGCTTGGCTCAGACTTTGCACCACGTCATTTCTGCCGTATTCTAATGGTCAAAGCAATTCATGAGCCCAATCGAGATTCAAGGGGTAGGAGGTTCCAAGGCATTATGGCCATTTTTAATCTACCACAGCAGGCCAGATTGCACCCCTGACTAATTGAATCACAGTCTCTATGGGATGTGATTCTGGCATCAGGACTTTTTTAAGCTCCCAGGTGGTCTCTAGTGTGGAACCAATGCTGAGAGCACTGTTGGGGAATAAGGGGGAGGAAGAAGAGGAGAGAAGAGAGCAGATGCCTTTGTCTTAACTGGGTGAGGATTCAGTGTCAGCTCAGTGGGCGGGTGCTGCCGCCCTAGTTTCCTATCTATGCTTGCTGAGGACAGATGGTGACTCCATCACAACCTGCTGCCATTCTGACTGATTCCTGTGCTGTTCCTCCAGACACGCTGATTTCTTGTGCTGTTTGGCCCCTTTCAACACAGCTTCTTTGTGAAGCATGGTGATTGTTGTCCCCAAGTTCTGCAGAGGTTTTACGAGGCCGTGGTCCCCCAACCCTCACCTCCACTGTCTCCCACTCCGAGGCTGGGAACTGCAACCTGCCACTTGTGGGTAGGAGGAGTAGTCTTCACTGGCTGTCTCCCTCCAGTTCTCTTCTCCCTGCTCAGGTAGTACATGGCTTAGTAAGTAAGATGAGATAAGGAGACCTCCCACAGGGAGGGGAATACCAACTTCCCTTTCTGTAGGCACACTCAATCTTGACCAGCCAGCCCTTTCTTGCTGAAGACACCCCCAACTTAACACTGATTCTTTTAAACACCTGCATATACCCCCAACTCATACCTTAGCTCCTGTCTCTGGGAACATGGCACTTTCTTGACTGTCAAAGACCTCTTCCACTTTAGTCATCTTCTTACAGTCTTAGGGGTGGGCTTTGGATGAGGGGAGTACGTAGTAAGACCTCTTCTGACCTGGTACCTCTCTGACAAGACCTGCAGATTGATGGCTGGGTCCCTTCTGCTGGGAGCTTCTGGAACTTACAATGTGGTCTAGCCTGGGCATCATGGCAAAACCCCATCTCTACAAAAAAGGCAAAAGAATTAGCCAGGTGTGGTGGCATGTGCCTGTAGTCCCAGCTACTCAGGAGGCTCTGGTGGGAGGATTGCTTGATCCTGGAAAGCAGAGGTTGCAGTGAGACAAGATTGTGCCACTGCAATCCACTCCAGCCAGGGCAACACAGTGAGACACTGTCTCAAAAAAAAAAAAAAAAAAAAAAAAAGAACATGAAGTCTGTGGGTCTTTTGTCCCAAGGTTTAACCATGGCCACAGGAGAAATTAACATCCTATTACATGGTGACAGTGATGGCAATCACTCCTATTGAGCGCCTGATGTGGGCTGGCCATTTTCACATGTTATGTAGTTATTTTATTTAACAAATATTTACGAAGCTCTTATGATGAGCTTTTAAGTGAGACACTGGTACAATGTTTATTTTACAGAGGAGAAGGCAGAGGCACAGAGAGGCAAGCTAACCCAACCAGGGAACATAGCTAGTAAGGGAGAACTCTCCTGCAGAACCCAGAACCCATGCTTCCCACTCTGCACTGCACCACCACCATTTAATTATAATATTGTCTATTGTTTAACACAGACCACCTACTGTGGGCTATGTGATTTCACATCCAGGTTAACAAAAAAGCAATAACAGTATCTAGAGCTTGCCAAGCACAGTGGTGAGCAATGTCCGTGCATTATTTCATTTAATATTTATTTTAAAATCATTTTATAAGCCAGCATGGTGGTTCACACCTGTAATCCCAGCACTTTGGGAGGCAGAGATGGGGAGATCACCTGAGGTCGGAAGTTCAAGATTAGCCTGGCCAACATGGCAAAACCCCATCTCTACTAAAAATGTGAAAGTTAGCTAGGCGTGGTGGTGGGTGCCTGTAGTCCCAGCTGCTCAGGAGGCTGACGCAAGAGAAACACTTGATCTCAGGAGGTGGAGGTTGCAGTGAGTGGAGATTGCACCACTACACTCCAGCCTGGGCTACAGAGAGAGAATCTGCCTCAAATAATAAATAAAATAAACTCATTTTATGGATAATAAAAATGAGGCACAGGGAGGTTAAGTAACTTCCCTAAGCTTTCAAAGCCCAGAAGAGCTGGCATTCTAATGAGGCAGTCTAATCTCAGGGCCTCTGCCCTTCCCACTATGCTAGACTGCCCCTCTTCGCTGAGTGGCTTCAGTGTGCCATACACCATGCTAGGATTTTTCATGTGTTCTCTAAGTACAGAGCTTCCTGAATGCCAGGCATGATTCAGAGGCAAGGGAACAAAGAGAAGTCCCCAGAGAACTCATCACATGGTGAGCTAACAGCACAGAACAATTCGGAATGACTGGCACTGTACTGGGGTGTCCAGAGGCTAAAGGAGCAGAGAGGAGGAGTCTCTAAATCGGCCAGGGCAGAAGGTATCAGGAAAAGCAGTCTATGAGAGGGAACGCTGAAGGGAGTAAGATTTAGCCAGGAGTTGAAGGGTTGGGAAGGCATTCCAGGAAGACAGGGTCCAGCCTGATTCCAGACTCATCCTGCGCAATACTGCTTATGCAAGCTAAGACATTCTTGACTTGCATGAGCAGTATTCTACAGACGAAATGACAGGGGCTTGCACCTCTCTGAGTGATGAGCCCTTACTCTGTCTGTGGAACCAGGACACATGCTACAGCACAAAGATTCGGGTACAACGTGCTTTGCCCATACTCCAAAGACAGCCTTGGGGACTAAGCAAAGAGAGGTCGAGCATTCCAAGCAAAGGAAATACAAAGCCAAGATCTTAGTTGGTCAGGCTGGTACCGGCAGTCAGCAGGGAAGCAAGGCTGGTGCACCTGTCCAGCCATCAGCCTCTGGGCCTGTATTAGTTTCCTGGGCCTGACATAATAAGTTACCACAAACTTGGTGGCTTAAAACATCAGAAATGTATTCTTTCACACAGAGCCTGGAGGCCAGAAGTCCAAAATCAAGATGTTGGCTGAGCCATGCTCTATCCAAAGGCTCTAGCTAACTTGACTCTTCTAACTTCTGGTGGCTCAGGCATTCCTTGGCTTGTAGTCACATCACTCCAGTCTCTACCTCCATCTTCACATGGCCTTCTTTCCTCCTATGTGTTTCAAATTCCCACCTCCTTTCTCTTACAAGAACCAAAGTCACTGGATTTAGAGCCTACCCTAAATCCAGGATGATCTTGTCCCAAGATCTTGAATTACATCTTTAAAGATCTTATTCACAGGAACCAGGGGTTAGGACTTGGGTATATTGTTAAGGGGGACGGTGTTCAATCCACTACAGCCTGTGTGGGAAGACCAAGCACCTGCTGCCCAGGGCCTGGCTGGCCAAGCAGGCAGGAAACAGTGAATGCAGTGGCTGTGGGGCCACAGCTGCTGACAGGTTGATGCAGAGGCCCTGTGACCAACCCAGGAGACTCTTCTTCCACATTCTCTGTCTGTCTCCCACCATTCTGCTCTCTGCCTTTCTACTGTGCCTTTCTCTCTCCCTCCCTTCTTGCATTTAGTGGGTACCCCCAAGTACCAGGTGGCAGGGTGGACAGGAAGCACAGGAAAGCAGACAACCCCAGTGCAATGTGATAAGGTCAGGCTGCCGAGGTGCAGAATGATCAAGGAACAGCAGCAGGGAGGGCAGTGCTTGTTTGGGTAACAGCAAGAGGGAAAGGTCATCAGGAGCTCTTTTATACCTAAAGGACTTGGCACAAGATGCTTTCTTTGCCTGGGAAGGACCTGCTGACTTCACCCCAAACTTTGGCCTGACCAGGGGTCTTAGCACTCTATTTATTTCCTTCTAAGCACATATCACAACTTGATATTTGCTTGAATCTTTATTGTCTCCCTACTAGACTGGCCAAAAGGTGAAAGCAACCCAAATGTCCATCATTGAATGAATGAATAAACAAAATGGTATATACATACAATGGGATATTATTTAGCCTTAAAAATCAAGAAAAAAACTAATAAATGCTGGAGCACAGATGATACTTGAGGACATTATGCTAAGAGAAATAAGCCAGACATAAAAGAACAAATATTTTGTGATGCCGCTTATATCTATGAAGTACCTTGAGTAGTCAAACTCACAGAGACAGAAAGTAGAATGGTGGTTGTCAGGGGCTAAGATTTGGGGAAAATGGGCATTATTATTTAATAGGCACAGGGTTTCAGTTTTGCAAGATGAAAAGAGTTCTGGATAAATGGTAGTGATGGTTACACAACAATATGAACGTACTTAATGACACTGAAGTGTACACTTTAAAATGATTCAGATGGTAAATTTTATGTTATGTGTATTTTATCACAATTTTTAAAATAAAAAAAAGAGAAAAGAATGGAGGTACAGAGAGAGGGAGGGAGGGAAAGAAGAAATGGAAATAGAGAAATTTCCAAATTGGAAAGAAATAAAACTATCTCTATTTGCACACAATGTAATCTTATGTATATAAAAATCCCAAGGAATCCATTAAAAACTTATTTGAAATGATAAACAAGTTCAGGAAGTTTGCAGAACACAAGATCAATATATAAAAATTAATCATATTTCTAGACACTAGCAATGAAGAATCCAAAAGTGAAATTAAGAAAAGAAACCCATGTACAGTAGCATTAAAAAGAATAAAATACTTAGGAATAAATTTAACAAAAGAAGTGCAAGACTCATGCACTATAACTACAAAACATTGTTGAAAGAAATTAAAGATCTGAATAAATGAAAAGGCATCCCGTTTTCATGGATTGAAAGGGTTTATATTGTTAAAATTGCAATACTTTCAGAATTGATCTTCACACTCAACAAAATTCTATCAAAATTACAGCTGAGTTTTTTCCCCAAAATTAGCAAGTTGATCATAAAATTCACTTGGAAATGCAAGGGTATCCCAAATAGCCAAAACAGTCTTGAAAAAGAATTTGGCGGGCTCATACTTCCCAAATTCAAAACTTACTACAGCCAGGCATGGTGGATCATGTCTGTAATCCCAGCACTTTAGGAGGCCAAGTCAGGAGGATAATTTGAGGCCAGGAATTCAAGACTAGCTGGGCAACATGGAAGACAAAACACTCTGACAGTTTCTCAATGGAGAAAGAATAAGAATAGTCTTTTCAACAAATGGTATTGAGACCACTGTATATCCACATACAAAAGAATGAAATTGTTATACCCTACAGTTTTGTAATCATATTTGTACTCAGTTTTAATTGCATGCAAATTAAGGGGAAGAGTATGCAGAAATTTTTAGGAAAAGCGTAGTAACTTCAAGGTGATTGCCTTGAAAAGGGGTGGTAACTTTTGTGTGTTGCCATGGCGCTGGTGGGCTTGTCTCATAGAGAAGTGCTGTTGCCTCCTCCCTGTTTCCATCGTCATTAATCTAGTCCTGAGTTTGAGCCCCAACTCCAGAGTCAAGTCCTGCCTCCTGCCTCAAGGCCATTATTGCCACGTAGGGAGTGGTAAGGGAGTATAAGTGGAATTTGGAGCATTATCGCCTGGTTCAAGTCCCAGCTCCCTCACTTACCACATAGGCTGTGTGATTGAGGAGTTACTTTACTTCTCTGTGTCTCGGCTTCCTTATCTGTTAAATGTGGGTGATAATAACACCTCTGCAGTACCTCCTAGCGGAAAAAAAAGCACCAAGTGCTATAGTGCCTGACACAGCAAATCTGCAAAACTGCTAGCTATCATTATTATATGAGGCTTTTGACCCAGCTGTCAGAGAAGCTGGAAATTTGCGTTTTTATGTGAAATTTCCTGACCTGAAGTTGTTGGCAACTGATTTAAAATTTTATTTACACAATCACACACAAAGCATGTGGCTGTGGTGTGCATATGGCTCTTGAGCTGCCAGTTTGACTTCCACACGCCATGGTAAATTAAAGGAGCAAGGGGGTGCCTGCCACTGACGCTGCGTGATGCCCTGCAGGGTCCCGGAAAGAGAGGCAGGTGTATAGCAAGGCAGTGAAGAGGCTGTTCAGCCTGGAAGCCTCTGGAAGGAGAACCCAGATCCGAAGGGCTGGGCGGCGCTGTCTCTGGCATGACGACCTCCTGGAGCCTGCCACCAAGCCCAGCATCACTGGCAAGTTCAAGGTGCTAGAGCCTCCCATGCTAGGCCACGACCTGAAACTGGCCCTGTGCTTGGCCAACCTCACCTCCCGGTCCCAGTGGGTGAGAGTCAACCTGAGCGGTGCCACCATCCTCTACACCCGCAAGCCAGTGGCAGAGATCCTGCACGAATCCCACACCATAAGGCTGGGGCCGAAAGAAGGTAAGTGCACCCTGGCTTGGTGGTATCAGGCCAAGCCACCTCCTTTTTCAGGAGGGTTGTGGAGGTCAGGGGGATTTCCCAGGATCTGCATTCATCCCCAGGAAGGAAGGGGACATTCCTGAGCATTGTACTCAGTGCCTTGCCTCTTGTCCCCACTTTATAGATACGAAAAGTGAAACTTGGTGGGGCAAAACAATAGGAATACAAGTCCACATGCATCTGGTGGCAATCTGATGAAGATGTGATTTATAGTTCTCTTTTTAATTAGAATGAATATTTACCCACCAAATAAATATATGCTGGGGGTATTTCAGCATATATGGAATATGCCATGCATTACTTTTCTAAAATTAAAAAAAAAAAAAAATCTGGAGCCCATTTGGCTACAGGCATTCTCTGGAAGACAGCTGGACCAGTAAGAGGTGGCTTTCTTTGTTTTGGTTTGTTTTCATTTTTTGAGATGGAGTCATGCTCTGTCACCCAGGCTGGAATGAAGTGGCGTGATCTTAGCTCACTGCAACCTCCACCTCCCAGGTTCAAGGGATTCTCTTGCCTCAGCCTCCTGAGTAACTGGGACTATAGGCGTGCACCACCGGACCTAGCAATGTTTGTATTTTTAGTGCAGAAGGGGTTTCGCCATGTTGCCCAGGCTGGTCTCAAGTGATCCATCCGCCTTGGTCTCCCAAAGTGCTGGAATGGCAGGCGTGAGCCATGGCGCCCAGCAGTTTTTGTATTTTCTAACTGACCTTACTCCAATTGCTTCTTAAAAAATATATCAAGGGTGTTTTCGTGATTCTTGAACACACAGCACTTCATGGATTATTTATTTATTTATTTATTTATTTATTTATTTATTTATTTTATTGAGATGGAGTCTCACTCTGTCACCCAGGCTGGAGTGCAGTGGCGTGATCTTTGCTCACTGCAACCTCCACCTCCCAGATTCAAGTGATTCTCCTGCCTCAGCCTCCCGAGTAGCTAGGACTACAGGTGTATGCCACCACGCCCAGCTAATTTTTGTATTCTCAGTAGAGACGGAGTTTCGTCATGTTGGCCAGGCTGGTCTCCAGCTCCTGACCTGAGGTGATCCACCTGCCTCAGCTTCCCAAAGTGCTGGAATTATAGGCGTGAGCCAACGCACCTGGCCACATAGCACTTCATGGATGATTTATTAAATGCATCTTCTTTGATTTATTCCTAAACTCCCAGTTTGTCTGTCATTTTGCCTGTATCTCCCTCTCCCTCTGTCACTCCTTCCCTCTGTCTCTGTCTCTGTCCCTTTGGCTATTTTGTCGGTCTCTCTCTCTATTTCTCCTCTCTCTCTGCCTCTCGGTCTCTCTATCTCTGTATCTCTATCTCTCCTTTGCCTCACTCTCCTTTCACATACTTTCTGAATTCTAAGGATTTAATTAAACAAAGAAGTTGTTGCTCTGGGCCAGTTTCTAGTAAGTGAAGCTTGTGAATTTTCACAGGGTGTGAAAACGTATGAAGGAGGTGTCACACTTTTTTAGCTTTTTTGACATTTATTTTTCACAAAGTCTAAATCACAAAATAACACTTCATCATAAGATTTTAATTAACATACACTTCCCTCTGGCTTTTAGCAATTTGTTTCATATTAAAAGTAATACATATTCCTAAAGATTTGGAACGCAAAAGAGAAAAGTCACCTATGATCCTACCACCCACCTACAAACTGTTAATGTATTTTACTTCCAAATTTTTAATGCCCGTGTGCTTTTTGAAAAACAGTTCTGGTTAAATATTGCAAATAGTCATTACTGCCCTGCTCTTTCTATATTACATTGTATTTTAAATATTTTTATAAGCTTCTCATAAACATCATTTTAATAGATGTTTAAATAAATAGAATTTAATAGATCTTTAAATAAATATATGGTGACATCTTTTCTCTTCTTTTGGGTAGTTATCAGCTTATTGCTATTAAAAATGACACTAAACTTCTGTTTAGTTTATCTTCAGAGTGTCAGGCAAGCAAGTAAACATTTTGATTCAGAAAAAAAACTTCACTTTTTTTCTGCTGGATTTTGGACTCCTGTTAGAATATATCACAAAATGAAATTATTTGGCCAAATGATAGGCTATTAAAACATAATTTATTAATATATGTATAACTTTTTAAATGAATAGGTTTTTAAGTAGTTTTAGGTTTGCAGAAAACTCTGAGTGGAAAGTACAGAGAGTTCCCATGATCCGCCCACCACCTCTCCTGTTCTTCTGTTACTAACATCTTGCTTTAGTGTGGTACATTTGTTACCATTAATGAGCCAATATTGACACAGTATTATTAACTAAAATGCGTAGTTTACATCAGAGTTCACACTGCCTTGTGCATTCTATGGCTTCTGACAAATGTATAATGACATGTATCTAACATCACACTATCATACAGAATACTTTCACCCCCCCAATATCTCCGTGCTCCACCTCTTCATTCCTCCTTCCCTTGCCTGAACCCCAAGTAACCACTGATCGATCTTTTTACTGTCTCTATACTTTTGCCTGTTCCATAATGTCATCTAGTTGACATCATACAGTATAATTAAGCTTCTTCAGATTGGCTTCTTTCACTTAGCAGTATGTATTTAAGGATCCCTCATGTTTATGTGTCTTGATAGGTCATTTCTTCTTACTGCAAAATAGTACACCCTTATATAGATGTACACAGTTTATCCATTCACCTACTGAAGGACATCTGGGTTGATTCCAAGTTTTGGCAATTACAAATAAAGCTGCTATAAACATCTTTATGCAGGTTTTTGTGTGGAATTGAGTTTTTAATTCTTCAGATGAATATCAAGGAGGACACTTGCTGGATCTTATGGTAAGAGTATGTTTAGTTTGGTAAGAAACTGACAGACTGTCTTCCAAAGTGGCTGTACCCTTTTGCATTCCCACCAGCAATATATGAGAATTCCTGTTGTTCCCTCTCCCATCCAGCAGGTGGTGGTGTGTGTTTTGGATTATTAACATTGTAATAGGCGTGTAATAGCATATCCGAATTTACTATTCACTAATGACATAGGAGGTTGAGCATCTTTTTGTATAGTTATTTGACACCTGTATCTCTTCTTTGGTGAGGTGTCCAGTTCTTTTGCCCATGTTTTAATGGGGTTCTTCATTTTCCTGTTGCTGGTTTCTAAAAGGTCTTTGTGTATTTTGGATAACAGTCTTTTATCGGATACCTTTTGCAACTATTTTCTCCCAGTCTGTGTCCTCTCTTCTCAGTCTCTTCACAGTGTTTTTTGTAGAGCAGAGTTTTTAGTTTTAATAAAGTCTAACATCAGTTTTTTTCTTTCATGGATCATGCCTTTGGTGTTATATTTAAAAAAAATTGTTACCGGCCAGGTGTGGTGGCTCATGCCTGTAATCCCAACACTTTGGGAGGCCGAGGCGGGTGGATCACTTGAGATCAGGAGTTCAAGGCCAGCCTGGCCAATATGGTGAAGCCCCATCTCTACTAAAAATACAAAAAGTAGCTGGGCATGGTAGTGGGTGCCTGTAATCCCAGCTACTTAGGAGGCTGAGGCATGAGAATCACTTGCACCTGGGAGACGGAGGTTGCAGTGAGCTGAGATCACACCACTGCCTCCAGCCTGAGCAATAGGGCAAGACTCAGTCTCAAAAAAGCACAAAAATACATACATATATATTACCAATCTCGGGTCATCTAGATTTTCTTCTATGTTATCTTTAAGTTATGTGGTTTTTGCATTTTACATTTAGGTCAATGATTCCGTTTAGTAAATTTTGTAAGGAATGTAAGGCCTGTGTCTAGATTTTTTCCCATGTGGATATCCAGTTGCTTCAGCACCATTTGTTGACTATCTTTTCTTCATTGTATTTCCTTGCTACTTTGTCAAAGATCAACTGACTGTATTGGTAAGCCTATTTCTAGGCTCTCTTCTATTCCATGGATCTATAGGCATACCTCAGAGATATTGCAGGTTTGGATCCAGATCATAACAATGGAAACATTGCAATAAAGCAAGTCACAAATGTTTTCGTCTCCCAGTGCATATAAAAGTTATGTTTACACTATACTGTAGTCTATGAATGTGCAATAGCATTATTTCTTTAAAAAATAAATATCGACTTTAATTTCAAAATACTTGTTGCTAAAAAAAATTGCTAACAATCGGGGCCAGGCACAGGTGGTACATACCTGTAATCCCAGAACTTTGGGAGGCTGAGGCAGAAGGATCATTTGAGCTCAAGAGCTCAAGACCAGCCTGGACAACATGGTGGAACCCTATCTTTACAAAAAAAGAAAATTAACCAGGCACGGTGGTATGCACCTGCTGTCTCAGCTACTCAGAAGTGAGGTGGAAGGATCATTTGAGCTCAGGAGTTCAAGGTTGCAGTGAACTGAAATCCTGCCACTACACTACAGCCTGGGCAACAAAGGGAGAACCTCTCTCTCAAATAAAAAAATAAAAATGCTAACAATCTGAACTTTCACTGAGTCCTGATCTTTTTGCTGGTGGAAGGTCTTGCCTCAATGTTGATGGCCACTGACTGATCAGGGTATTGGTTGCTGAAGGTTGGGGTGGTTGTGGCAATTTCTTAAAATATGACAACAATGAAGTTTGCCACATTGAGTGACTCTTCCTTTCACGAAGGATTTCTCTGTAGTATGCGATGGTGTTTGATAGCATTTTACTCATAGTACAACTTCTTTCAAACTTGGAGTCAATCCTCTCAAACTCTGCCACTGATTTGTCAAGTAAGTTTATGTAATATTCAAAATCTTTTGTTGCCATTTCAGCAATGTTTACAGCATCTTCACAGAGAGTAGATTCCATCTTTAAAAAACACTTTCTTTGCTTATACGTAAGGAGCAACTCTTCATCTGTTCAAGTTTTCCCATCAGATGCAGCAATTCAGTCACATCTTTAAGCTCCACTCTAATCCTCTTGCTGTTACCACCACATCTATGGTGACTTCCTCCACTGAAATCTTGAATCCCTCTAAGTAAT